TAAAAAAAAAAAAAAAAACAAAAGCAACAGAATGTGCAGTAGCAAGAAACCCATTTGAATTTTATTCGCGTCGTTAAATAATAAAAACGAAGAAACAAGAATAAGAAGTGGACCACACTTACGTATAATTCTGTTGTAATATTTGTGTTCAACGATCGATGATCACAGTGTGTTTAAAAACGTCTTCATCGTTTTAATATAGAACAAATATTAGATCAATCGCGAGTATATCTTAAGATCATTTTGCAATGCATCCTTATCAACGTTTCTTATTTACACGATTAGTTGACCTGATGAGATAGGAGAAAGAAGAACTTCTGGAATGGTACCGGTAGTAGTAGTAGTAAAAGAAGAACAAGAAGAATAAGAAGAAGGAAGAAAGTATTCGTGGAACAACTAACGGAAAAGAAAGAAAGAAAGAAACAAACAAAACAAAATAAAACAAAAAGAAAAGCACAGTAGGGAAAGAAAGAATGAAAAAGAAACTTACTTGACTGAGAGTTATCTGGGTCGACTAAAAACGTAACGCGTTAAGAAGATGGAAGAAGATTGAGGAAAGACCAGTTAAATTGTATTCCAAAAGATGCAACACAACGTGACACGGCACGTACCATCGCTGAGCCCGCAGTTGGGTCTGACCGCACCTGTATGGGCCCACTGAACGCCCACCCATCCGCTTACCTCTACCTACCCCCCACTTTGAAACACTTCACCAAACGTCTACCAACTATAAATGGAGTTTCTTTTTCTTTTTCTTTACTTTTTCATTAATTACTTTCCTTTTTATATATTCCTACAACAAATATATCTAATATTATTACTTATATATTACAATCTTAGTTTGTTTCTTTGTTTGTTCATCAAATTAAACCTTGTTTTAATTCAACTCTTAACTATTATTATAGTTTACATACTTTTGTGTGTGTGTGTGTTTCTTACATATATATATATTTTTAGTTTTCTTTTATCATTCAAATTATTTCTAATCGCAATGTCGTAACGCATAAATAAAAATGAACGATATTCATGTGTGTTGAAAAGGTGATGATCTGACAAATACAAAGTTTTCTTATATTACTTCTTTTATACTTTTTCAAATATTCTTTGTTTAAAATAATGTGTGTTTACTTAAAAAAAAAAAAAAAAAGAAAAACAAACTTTTCTTATACTATTCAAATAAAAATTAATAAAATTAATTTATAAAAAAAAAATAATAATAATAAATATCATTATGTATGATGAATTGTTCAAAGAAGAGCAGGTGTGTAAACGGAATTTATTCGACACACCGAGGCGACTCGTATAGTTCCTTATATGTACATACACACACACACGTGTCATTATATGAGTCATATAGGTAAGCATGTCTACAGGGTGTCCCACTTTTTTTCACCAATATTTTAATATCAATAAAAATCCAAACACAAAAATCTTGTACAAATTCCTACATTTTGAAATGCATCAATTTAAAATATTATTACAAAAATATGAAACATTAAATGTACTGGTATTTTGTTGAAGTAACAAAAGAATGCTTAGTTGATCCCATTTTTATCTGAGAAAGATTATCTGTACAGTTATTTCAAGAATTTCTTCTTACCAAAGTTCTTACCAAATGGGACACCCAGTATACATTTATACAGGGTGAGACATAACTTGTTTTCCCTTCCAAGTAATTCACAAAAATTGAAATCAACATTATTACAACATTACTTTCAAACTTGAAAGACACCACAACTTTTTGCCCATATTTAAATAAATTAATTGAATTAATTTTTAATAAGCTTTATATGTGAATATTAATTTTGTTTAAACAATTTTACAATAAGAAAGCAACTTATATTCTCGTATGATTGTTGTTTGTCAAAATTTGTACAAAGTAAACGTAATTCATACATAAATTATATATTCAATATTATTAAATATATTCATAGACAAATAATGAAATATTGGGATCTCTGGCAGGGTTCAATGGCGTAGCAATTCGACCTATCTACTGTCATTTTGAATTTGGTCACTAGATAGCGTATTATATTATATTTTTAATATATATAAATTAAAAATTAAGATATTTTTGTTGATCATCTTGTATACAACGACAAATTCATGATGAATATTGGGATCTCTGGCAGGGTTCAATAGCGTAGCAATTCGACCTATCTACTCTCATTTTGAAGATAGCCACCAGATAGCGTATTCAAGTGTCTACAGATCCCAATAACAGATTGATTATTTTTATTTTCTTTCCATTTTAGTATTGTCTTGGTTTTTTTTTTTAATATACAATCATGAAGAAATACATTATTTAACTCTTTAATAATTAATTAATTAATTAATAATAGTGTATCTCAACACAATGTTGGAGAGTGACACGTGATCAAAAAAAACAAAAAGAAATGAACAAATTTGATCAAACGAAAGATGATTTGTTTCCTTTCGAAATAATTACTTGAGAATTTACAATGAAATCCTTTGTAGACTAGACTCTGTGGGTGTTACACACTATGCTTATATTTTGATTTGAAATACACACAATCTTTCATACATACATACAACACATACTCATATATATATATATATGCACACATACAATTACAAGATAATTGAGAATACTTCCTTGATATTTGTACCATTTTATAATCACCAAGTCAGTAAACCTTTTATTTATGATTCTTGTTTAAACACACACACACACACACTCTCTCTCTCTCTTTCTTTAACAATAAATAATATCTGTCAATATCTTTGATTTTGCGCAACAGGCCCACATTGTCTATTAATTGAGAAATATATGTTTTTATACAAAGAGTGTCTTTAAAAGATTTTTCTGATCAAAAACAATGTCAATGTATTTTGTGCATCAAAATGAAACAAAGAAATATAATTGTATCTAAACATAAATCATTAAACTCTTTTGTTATTAATGATTTATAGATTATGGTTATTTATGAGTAATTACTATTTGTTTTCTTTGTACATTTTCATACACAGAATATCAATTAATAATATTTGACCAGAAAAATCTATAATATATTTTTGTATATATGTGTATATGTGTGTATATGTGTGTGTATATATTAAAATCGATACCAATCTTTTTTTTTGGTCTATTACTTTGGCCTGGAAAAAAGAAAAGCATACGATGCGTTTTGTTAGGTACTTCTAAACACGTTACATACATGTTATCTCTATTTTTAATCTTGAAACATTTATCAAAATATATATATATATATAATAAAAAATCTGTGGATTTGAATAAATCGCACAAAGTTAAATTAATGCTAAATTAAATTCAGAGATTCACCATAATTGCGATTGAGATTTCAAATTGATTTTCAGTCATTTTCAAATTCATATTATTATTTAAATATTTTTTTAAAAAAATATATATATATATATAATAAAAATCAGTAGATATGTGAAAAATTACGAAAAAAATTACGAATATAATCGTAATATTTCAAATTTTTCTTGAAATAACGAACACAACATTTTTTGTGCAACGAACGTGAATACAAACAAAATTCTTGAAGATATTGTGCCATTGTAAAATTGGATGACCAATTTCTTGGAATTATCATTAATATTATTCTCTATTGTCCATCAGTGTTCTTTTTTCTTATATGTTAGAAGAATGATACGGTTTTTGTTTTCTTTTTACAGAACCATAAAATGATATAAATCCATCTTGGCACAAAAGTAGACCAACGAAATCGGTTTGAAGAATATTATAATGCTTCAAAATTGGACGAATATAAGAAGAAGATGAAGGACCCAATAAAGATCATGGTTTGATTTAGGCTTTATATCTGTCCGATGAGCCACTTGCGCAACATAAAATCAATGCGAATATCAAACCAAGAAGTTCAAGTATACCAACACCTATGGCAATTCCAATAGCAATACAACTTTGACTCTTCAATGCATTCACCAATTTATCTATGCATCCCTGAAAATGATAAAAATAACAAATCATTCTTCCGAGTTAACTCAGAGTGAGAACTCATTATCTATCAATTATTGTGTTTTGCAATATAATAAACAACAAATGAAGAAAAACACGGATCAAGATAACAATGTAAAAATTACCTCATTATAAATAGCAGGACTAACAATATCCCCTAATTTAAAATTGCGTGCAGTTTCACAAATTAAACTGTCCCTGTCCATGCAACAGGATTTCGGTACTTTGTAAGCATTGTCAGATTTCGATGAAACTGTTAAAGAAAGATCATATTTATTGGCATATTTGCTGCCAGCCCAATCATCTGGTCCGGTTGCACCGCAACATCCAAGACCCGATTGGAAAGCGTCCACCGTTTGAGTACGAAATTCCACGAATCCATATTCGTTCTAAAACAAATCAAATAATGCAATCAATGCAAAACCAAAGGACGATGATCAAACAGCTTACAATAATAAAAAAAAAAACAAAAAACAAATGAAGGAATTACCTTAACGGTGTTGATGACGGATAATTTGACGAGTTCTTCGAGACGATCGCTATTTGTATAGAGCCAAACTCCAGCAGCAATTTGTGCGACTATTACAACCAATAGACAACTGAAAAAGCCAACTAGCATACATTGAGACTCACGAAAGGCTCCCCAACATCCAAGAAAGGCTACCACGAGCATGACGAGTCCAGCTACTAGCAAAATGTAAAGGCCTGCTCTGAAATTGTGCTGTTCTTGTGTCACGGACACGAGAAAATTGTGATCGACTAACATCCATATCGACAGGACCACCGTTGTTAATCCAATAGCCTGAACAATCAAAAATAAGCAACGATAAATGATCAAATAAATCAAACATAATAAATTGATCGAACACGATATACAAGTCAAATGTTTTTTGAAATTCCCGCCATTTTATGAAAACTGTTTATGCAAGGTATAACACAACTTGTGTTTGAATTTAAATGTCTCATTCGTATATTTTTAACGCTGAGATAATACATTTCAATTGAGATAGAAAAATACAAAAGATTGTATTAACTCAAAGATAATATTTACTATCATTTATTCTGACCATGAACAATCATCCCTGAGTGCAATAAAAATCAATTGAAACTCTGATACGGAAAATGATCATAGATTGGTTTAATATCTAATGAATATGATTTATTATGCTAAGCATATACGAGACATTCTTCTATTTTATCTATGTCATACTTCAATGCTTCCTAGCCTATCAAGAAAGTGGGTTAACGCGTAGGCTGGCATATGTGTGTGTGTGTGAGTACCACCATGTTCGTTGAATGACTACAAGCCTATATTTAAAACGTGTTTATGTTTATAAATAAAGATTTCGAATGGACGAAATCTAAAGGAATAAAAAAAAATACTCTACGAGTAGCAGTCTCTTAAGAAAAAAAAAAAAGAAATTACAAGGATAATCATTTGAGATCAGTTTCAGTTTTCTTAAAACAAAATAAAATAAAAAAAAATAGTTTACTAAGAAGGAAAGGAATATGATAAGATTTAAAGTTGCAAAATAAGTATATTCGTAGAGAGAGAGAGAGAGAGAGAGAGAGAGAAAGAGAAAGAGAGAGCCCAGATGTAATCGATAAAGCTGTGCCTAGAATTGCTCCTGCCGGGAGATAGAATTACAGTAACGTAACGAAGAAATAAAAGGCCCACTGCATATAATATATAAACATTGATGATGATTATTATTATATATATTAAAATATAATAATAATAATAATAATTATTATTATTATTATTATTATTATTATTATTAAATATTAACACTAGATATACCACCATTTTTAATATACCTATTTCTACCATACTAGTCAAAATGACTAGTATATACGAAAAAAAAATGCTTTTGGAGCTTTGCTTCCAATCTTTATTTACTCTTAAAAAAATAACACAACAAATGTTTAATAATAATAATTTTAATAAATAAATAAATTTATAGACATTTTAAAAGAAATAGGATAGGAAGACCGCGAATGGAAGGATCGAGCTCAGGGACGGGAACAATGGCGGGATTTGGTATTTGTGGCAATGAACTTTCGAATTCCTAATGCCAATTAATAATAATAATAATAATAATAATAATAATAGACATTTTAAAATTATTTACAGAACTCAAATGTTACATGAAGTAGACATTTTATAATTTAAAATGGCCTCCGACTAGTCAAAATGACTACTCTGGTATATCTAGTGTTAAATATTATTACGAGAATTATATAAAAAAAAAAAAAAAAAACTTGTTCTTTAACTTTTTCATTAGTTATTTTTCTTTTCTCATTTCAATTTTGTCATCATATTCGTCATTTTTATTAGCAATGTGACTGACTCACGTAGTAGATATATTCCTGGCATTTAAAACGATGACGAGAGATTTCGATTAATCATTTATACATAATTCTAACGTAATCTTTTTTTCTTTGACAATGATTTTGTTGTTTAACGTTGTAATATATTTTCAAAATAAATTCAACTACAATCTTATAAGACATTAAAATGTTCGTTAGAATTAAGATACGTGACTTGAAATCTGACTACTTCTCCTAACATAAAATTCTCTGAACTTAAGAGCCCAAATTGACTGCTGCTTTTGTCCAACACCAAAAGAACCTTTGAAAGGAAAAAAAAAAACAAAAAAAAAAGAAAGAGAAACAGATGTGTGTTGGGGTCTGCATTTGAGTCAAAGCACTTTTTCAAATGAAAAATAACGGAACGAGGATAATACTCGTGTTTTGTAATGGCGGTGGTGGTAATGGTGGTGGTGGTGTTGTGTATGCTCGACGGACTCGTTTCTTTTTTTTTCCTTTTTACTCCCCTTTTTACTTTGTAATACATTATTATTATTATTATTATTATTATTGTTTTGTTGTTGTGTTGTTATTTATTTTTATATTTTTCTTCTTTTTCTTTTTTTATATGTTTCAAAGCTTTTTACTTGTCCTCTTTTGTGTAATGAAGCTTAGCCACTCCCTATTATAAGCAACAACGTAAACGACCCCTGACTCTATAAATTTAATCGACAATCTCTTTCTCTTTATCGATAAATCCGATCAATAGTGTGTTGTTCCCCATACCTGTATAAACATTTTGCGCTTGCCCTTTTCAAACGCTTCGTCGTCGACATTATTATAATTTATTTTTTTTTCTTTTAACTAAGCGTGAAAAGGTTGCACAGAATGTTGCACGTGAAAGAATGCATCATGTGTGTGTTTTTAGTAAGGAAGATACTTTTACGATGTTTGAGTTACAGATAAATGAATATATGTGTGAGTGTGTTTGTGTAGATAGGAAATATCGTATTTTCAAGCAGATGCCCTTTTTTGAATGTTCAACGGAAATACGTTTCTTAATACCATAGAAAATATTATAGGAAGGAAACAGAAAACTGTTTAGTAAGAGAGTTTTTAATGTAACTTGATATAAAATACTGATATTTATAATTGTGTATGTGTACATACACATACATATTTATCCCATATGTTCATGTAATATTATTCATGATACTTTACTACTACTCGTATTCAAAACATTGTTTTGATTGATTCAATTCAATTGTAATTGTTTTAACAATCAAACAGATTTGTTTTGTAAAAAAAAACATAACAGTTTACATCCTTCCTTATTGTATACAAGATACTTGATTGTATATTACAATTTTTATTAATCAAACGTTGAACTTTGTTTGATTAATTAATCGTACAGATGAAAGGTTATAAATTAATTATCAAAAGTAATAAAAGCGCAAATAATAACGTTGATGATGCATTCTTCCATCATTTTATAGAAAATCATTGTATGAATCGTACAATCATTTGTAATGAATCCCTTCTTAAAAAACAATCGTAAATTGTATTTAAGATGAAGTTTAAAGATATTAGATGAGACTCTTCTTCTCATTGGTCGAATGTAAATGTTGAATCTGAATGGGGGGGAAGACCAAAATAAACTCACCCAAAAGCCGAGATTCACCCACACGAGGGCGTACTTAACAAATCCGTAACACTTGGGTAGCACCATGATGTTTTATTGTTCCCTTTTTTCGTTCCTCCTTTTCTATCTTCTTTCTTGTTTATTTTTCTTTTAATCTTCTTTTGATTGCTCCGTCACTTGATGGTCCGTTGACGTAAATAATCGTTGAGAAAAAACACCGTGTTTGTTTTTTTTCTTTTTTTCTAATTCTATTCTTATTATATTAAATTTGTTTTTTAGTCGTGTAAATCAAACACCCTTTTGTAATATGTTTTTTTTTTTTTTTTGCAAATACAATTTTGATAACACTGTTTTTGTGTCAGTCAAATGTTAAATTTCAGATTTAACGAATTTCAACAAAAAATACAATTTCTTGTTTAATTTGATATTGGACTCGTTAATCAAGAATAAATGAATGAATGAAATTGAATGATGAATGATGTACACGAACTAAATCCTCCATGCCACGCAACGCGTCGCAGCCGACTGCCAATCGACAAGAGCGTCACGCGTTCCTTCCATGGCCGCACGCGCTGGATTTTTCACAGCAAAGGCGTACTGCTGCTGCTCATCTCGTTCGAAAGGCCTACTGACGTCAACCGTTTTAAAAGAGAAAATTATATTACATACGTTCTTCCCTTACTTACATATATATATATATATATATATATATATGTATATATATACTCTTCTTCAGGTCTATTTTATTTCTTCTGCGCACGCGCTACTTTTTTTCAACAATATTTTATTTATCATTTCCAAATGTTTATTTTTATATCACCTTTCTAATGACTTTCTTCTATTAATTCTTCTTATTAATTAATAACAATTATCTATCAAATTTTATAAATGTTATTTTTAAACATTTTCTAATCGATGCTTTACTAGGATATACTTCTATTAATGATGGTGGATACAAAATTAGGAAGACATGATTGAATTGTAGGTATAATGATAGAGGAGGATGTTTTATATACTTGTTTTATCAATCGTCAAACTTATTCTTCATTCGTGTACTATTCTTAACTATTAAATATATATATATATTTTTGTTTTTGTATACAATTGATTTGAATTTTTTTTAATATACTCTATCTATCTCTTCCACCTCTTTCCTCTTATCAATATCCCCGTTTATGTCTATCGTGTTTATTCTCACCATTGTATGTGGCGTACGATAAACTGAAAATAATAAATTAATTTTATAAAAGGATTATATTATCAATGATTACAATTATTTTTTTTGTTTTAATATACTTATTTTGAGTTTTGTTGTTGTTGTTGTAAAGCTTACAGTGTAATCTACGGTATTGTTTCCTTTTCTTCATCCTAAAATGATACTTTGTACTTGATAATGTTTTTTCAATGACAGTAGCATTGATTGATACCAAATCTCGATTTAATATGGGCCTTCCTATAAGAGTGAAATCTGTGCTTCCAACTAACAAAACTTTTTCAAGTTTTATTCTATCACCTATCGAAGGTGGCCAATGTCCTTGTACAATTATGATGTCATTTTCAGTTATTTTAAATTGTTTACCACATATGTGAACAACTGCAAATAATCTACCTACTTTGTTCGTTGCTATTTGTTTGTTAATTTCCTTTGTTACATCTAAAAATGCAAATCTTTTGTTAATATACGTTCATATAGTTTTATATAATTCATTATATACAAAAGTATACCCTTCATTAACTTTTCTTTTTCTTTGTCAAATTCTGGTATTTCAACTTGATGTTTTGGTATAGGAGGCATCCATCCTAAACGTGTTGTAACATATGTAACTCTTCCAGGTTCCCATAGACTTAATGCTGACAAAAAGAATTATCTCAATTATACTTTGCATTTGTATGTATTTTTTTCTATGTTACATATAGGTTATATTTCTTTTACTAAATACTTGATTCTGTGACTTATTTTAAGAAAATAAACCATTCAAATTTAATTCTATTTATTACATTTAATATTAGATGCAAATGTCATAAATTTATTTGTATATTGAACATTCAAAGTAGTATAAAGAATTGAGGTTATATTCAACTTTCAATTCTTATGACTGCAACCAAGATCTTACAAATGATATATATATATAAATATTTGTATTACCTGAATTTGTTGTTCTGCATATTGCAGTAGTTGTTAATTTGTTTAAACAATTATTAGCAGCTAATCTAATTGCATTTGAAAAGATAGTAAGTGCTGCCATGTTTACCGAGAGTCGTAAACTACTGCCGACATCAAATCGATATTTATTTTAATTTATAATAGATATTGATTTGATATTGGCGTTTAAAAAAAAAGAGAGGGAAATTTAAAATTAAAAAATGCGTAACTAATGAATTATTATTAAACAAATATAATTATTATATTTGATATGTTAATAATTAAAGAGTTAATTGATATCTTTTAGCGATTAATTAAAAAATAATTGTATTAATAAAAGAATAAAATTAACCTAAGATTTATAAATAATTTGATAAAAATTGAAGAATGTTTTAAATAATAGAAAAATATCATCTTACAGAATAGTGAGAAATGGTGAAATAATATCGTTTAAATGTATCGATTTAAATGAACGTAAAATAATGATTTTGAATAAACGCGGGCAAATACATGCGAAACAGAAACTGTAGTTCCGGGGTAGAACGCATAATATAGCGCGGAGATGTCGTATGTGGTAAATCAGTCAGCAAACGGTTACTTGTTATGTTTAACAGTTGTGCTTGTTCGTACTGCGAGGAATCGATGAGTGTTGTATTATTTTAATTCTTTTTTGGGCGCTTTTTTAGTAGCCGCGAAAATTCGAAAGATGCAGTTTTATAAAGAAAAATTACTTTCACCGGGACAATTGAAGAGATTAAGCGAGCACAAATATAGTTGCACAACCAATAGTCTATTGGATGCATTTCTTCAACCCTGGTGGGACTGGTTAGTCAGCAAGGTTCCACTTTGGCTTGCACCAAATTTGATCACGGTTTTGGGTCTAATTGTCAATATTGTTACTACATTGATATTAGTTTATTATAGTCCTGATGCTAAAGTTGAGGTATATATAACCTAAATTCTTTCTTATCATATATCATCACATATCATGCATGCATAACTGTGACCATTATACTGCAAATTAAAAGATACCAACATGGTCTGTCTATCAAAGACATATTATATATCTTCTTTCATATATGTTTCCATTTAATAAAACTCTTTTATATTGTTATATTCACTTTTATATTTTTTTTCTTTGTGACAATTACAATGACAATGACAATGCAATGATACTGACAGCAGTACTGCCAAATACATATATACATATATATATATATATATATAGTTTCTTATTTTCTTAATATCATTTTATTCCTTGTCATGCTCATTAATTATTCATCAAATTAATTTTCAAATTTATTCGTTAACTGTTTAAATGTAAATATTTTCATTTATAATACTTTGTTATTATTATTATTATTATTATTATAGGCACCCAGGTGGGCATGTTTTTTATGTGCATTGGGTTTATTTATTTATCAAAGTTTGGATGCTATCGATGGCAAACAGGCTAGAAGAACTGGTACCTCTACTCCCTTGGGAGAACTGTTTGATCATGGATGCGATTCAATATCGACAGGTACATTATTTTTCATTATATTTTTCTTAATATTAATATTAATATTAATATATATATATATATACTCTTTTAACCTTTCTAATAATATTTAATAATATTGTTTTGTATTTTTCAGTATTCGTAGCATTATCCGCTTGTATAGCCGTACAGTTGGGATATTATCCAACGTGGATGTTCTTTCAATGTTTTTGTGCGATGACTTTATTTTATTGCGCCCATTGGCAAACTTATGTCTCAGGTAGTAAACAACAACAACAATTTATTTTTATAATGTTTGTTATACATTACTCTTATATTTTGTTTATTTACATTTATATTTTAATTTGTTAACAACAGGATCTCTAAGATTTGGTAAAGTGGATGTAACCGAAGCTCAGTTCACCATCATAGCAATACATCTGATATCCGCCATTTTTGGACCGAGAGTTTGGATGATGGAGGTTGTATCTCTTTTTTTTTTCTCATTGACATTTTTTTTTATTTTTTTTTTATGTCATCATCTATCTTAAATGTTCATTACTTTTTTTTGTTTGAAGACTATTTTATATTTGAATTTTAGTTGTAGCAAAGTTTTATGCATTTTATTATTATTCACATGTCGCGTAATGTTTTTTTTTTTTTTTTTTTATCCAATTGTTTCATTTTTCTTTTTGTTTATATTTTCTTTAAGCATAGTCTCCTCACCTCTATTTGTATATATGTATATATATACACATAGAAATTAATGTTCATTATCGACAAAGGAAGCACAAATAATCACAAGTAATCTTAGACATACATTGTATGGCTAGTAAAGTGTGAAAAGATTCAAAAAGAATTAAAATTAGGTACCTAAACAAAACAAAAAAGTAACTAGAATCTTTTCTCATCATTCTCATGCTTGTTTTTTTTTTTTTTTAAATTATGCTAATAATCATATTATTACGTACAAAGTCAAATCAACATTTTTAAATCAATCCTCTCACGTATATATATATACATTATTATTATTATTATTATTATTATTATTATTATTATTATTGTTTTATTTTATTTTATAAGTTATGTACAATTTTTATTTATTTATTTATTTATTTATTTATTTATTTATTTAATTTTGTTTAAAGTATTATCACTTTAAAGAGTTGATATTCTCGTATTATATATATATTTATAACAATATTAAAGCCCAATATTTGCATACCAATGTTAATTCTAATGAAATTAAAAGAAAATTCATGAAAAACTGAAGGGGAATTAATTAGGAATAGAAATAAAAAAAAAAAAACAAAAAAAAAAATAGGAATTTATTTTGTATATATATATATATAATTATTAAATTGTTTTGGTTGTTTAATTCAATCGATGATGATGACGACGACTCATGTGAAGATTTCGAGAGAGAATATTAAAACAAACAAACAAACAAACAAAAACACAAAACAAATCAATCCCAAACCGGTGATTATAAAAATTGCATGAGTCTAACGTGAACGTTTCTTCCAGATACCATACATTGATGGTTTTCTGTTGAAATATTTAATAGGAGTTATGACAGTGGTGTGTGCTCTGGCAAACTTATATTCCATATTTTCGGTGATATTCACCGGAGGAGTTGGGAAGAATGGTTCGACTGTCGCTGTAAGTTCGTTTAATTAGACATTTTTTCGGTTGAACATAAGGAATTGGGATCGGCATGGCATGAAGAGCAGTGCTGGAAGTACTATATATATATATACATATATATATGTATATATGTGTGTATATATTTATCGCCAAATACTTAACAAAACTTTCAAACACGTTTATATCCTTCTTCATCATTTTATCCTCCATTATTATCCTTCGTCATATTTTTCTTTCTTTTTATATTTATATTTATGTTGGTTGTATCCTTAAAATCAAATCAAATTAATTAATCAATCAAATCAATTGATCAATCAATCAATTTTGATCTTTCATGATTATCTAATTTGCTTTATTCATATTTCTCAATCATTACGTAGATTCGTACGTAGTTTGTTTTTTTTTTATTAAACGTTTTTAATAACATTACATTCTCATTATGACGATGATATTAATATTACATTGTTGTTTTACATATTGGGTTTTTCTTATTCTTCTTCTTCTTATTATTATTATTGTTATTGTTATTATTACTAACAAGGGATAAAACAAGAGTTTTTTGTATTTCTGTGAAAAGTATATATATATATATATATAGAGAGAGATATTAAGTTATTAAATATAGAAGAATAAAAAAAATAAAAAAGTATAAACGAATAGAATAAAAAAAGAATGAAACATGAGTGTAAACAATAATTCAGTTTTTGCAAATGGTAGGGGGGGTATAATTAATAGATGATAAAAAAATGTTATATTAGAATGCAAATTAATTTTGTTCTCTACATGATGAAATAATAATAATAATAATTATAATCTTAGATTTGTTTTTTCCTTCCTTCTTTGTTTCTTCTATTATTCATATTAATTATTATTATTATTATTATTATTATTAAATATAGTTATTACATGAGTAGTTATTTTCTTGCTGCAACTCATGCTCTCTCTATCTCTCTCTCTCTCTCTCTCTTTCTCGTTGTTTGTTATCTTACTTACATTTTATGCTTTTTTTTTCTTCCTATAGAGAATTTATTTTTACAAATGTGTAATTAACTTTGTATCGTCATACGTTTTTTCTTTCTTTTTTTTTTTTTTTWTTTTTTTTTTTTTTATACAAATCTTTAATGCATTTGAGAAGAATTTCTTTACTTTAATTAGAATAATACTTTTGTTTTGTACGTTTGATTTTATCAAATTAGTTTCATGTTTTTTTTTTTATTATTATTATTATTATTATTATTTTCTCATATTTATGTTAAAAACTTTTGTTCAATCTGTGAGATTCTTTTTCCTTCTTTCTCCTCTCTCTCTCCACCATCTCCACCATCTCCATATCCTCCTTTAATTATATTTTTACATTGGTTTCTTTCTGTCGATCGATTACGTGATACAATTATACAAAAAAAAGAAACAACAACAATAAAACACACATCAGTTTAAATACAAGGTGTGTCTCAAAAGTATCCGAACTTATCTCCATATTTCTTTTCCCCAAGGTTACTCTTCGTCGTTTGGTTTTATAACATCCTTTAAAGTAGTAGTCCCCCATTTGATTGAATAACACGCTCCCTACGCCCTTTCTCCACTTTTAAAAGCAGTCCTGCTGGTACTCGTTTTTCGGTAACCCCTTTAAAACTGTTCGTTGCAATTGCAGTAACAAATTTGTATTTAATTTTGCTTTCAACTGGAAAAGAATTGTTCAGAGATTAATTGAAATGATGAAGACAGTATTTGGGAATGAGTGTATTGGTCAATACGCAAATAAATATGGAGGTAGTTTAGATAATTTTGGGATACCACACCTTGGTACACCAACAAGAGCAACCCACGATTATTACAACTACAAAACAATCATCAACGAGAATAACAACAATAATCAATCAATCAATCAATCAACGAGGAAGAGAGAACACTGTACAACACTTACTTAGCAATTAATTGTGCTTCCTTTTTGAATATATATGCCTCTAATGAAAAAAAAAAAAAAAAAAGATTTAGGTATAGGAACATCAAAAATATCTTCAATGGTATTCAATGATGATGATAGTCCATGTTTCTAAGAAATTTCGATGATTGAATGTGGTTGAGATGATTAGTATGGATTTTGTAGGTTTCAATTATTTACTTGTTGTAAACTATTTCTCAATTCTTTTTCACATTCATCTGTGATTCGTCATTATTTTAAAACCCCCTTTTATTTTTCCTTCTAATATGTCGTCGTTCAACAAATTCGTTGATCAATGGAGATTGTAATCAAATTTGGGTTTTACAAATTTCGTTAGACCTTTTTTTTGTCTTTTCAAATTCGAATTCCATTTAAACGATTAAATTAATTGCATTTCTTTCTCTCTCCCCAGCCCCCGCTTAGTTGAGGTGTAAATCTCAAGTAAAGTAACTAAACCTCTTGCAATATTTATTTCTTCTATTTCGTCTGAATGATAGGAAGGGGGGATTAATGTTCTTCTTTAAAAAAGAGTAAGGATTTTCTGGATTTGTTTAGATTCCTATGCTCGGTCTGGGTACCCTAAGTTCTTACGTGGCAGCAATATTTTACGTGTGTTACACTCACGCCTTCCTTCAATTTTGTAAAGTCTTTGAATCTGGTGGAATTGGAAAGAACGGTTCGACCATTGCAGTAAGTTCGAACAAAAATGAACAAACAAAAATTTTTACATCGAAATAATAATTAAAAAAAGAAAATAAAAATAAAAGACTTGGTAGTGGTGTCGTTTTTTTTTTGTTTTAGCGAAACAACAAGTAATTCAAACAAATGAATTGAAATGTTGTTTAAAACAAAAATTATGAAGATGATACGACAAAATAATTTCTATTATTATTATTATTATTATTATTATTATTAATATAATTTGCCAAAGCTGTAGTTTTGTATATTTTAATTTTTTTTTTTTTTTTTTTTTTTTAGAACAATCTTTTTTTTTTACTCACACCAATTTTTTGCAACAACAAAATTTTTTCTTGCGCTTGATAATTAATCACTTCTTACTCTTTCTATTTCTTCTTCTATTTCTTCTCTCTCTCTCTCTCTCTTTTTATATATTTTAGTTTCTAGTTATCTTTTTATCTTTTATCTATCTTTCTCTCTTTATTTCCAACAACAACTAATCCTATCCTTAATAAACAACTTAGTAGATCTAATTATTTGTAATTAACAATAATTTCCATTTAATAATACAGGAAACTCTAATTGCAACATTGGAAATTCAAAATCATGAAAACTCGTGTCCCAAGTTATTGAATAACAAAAATACTCTTGTAATATCTTTAAATGTATCTATGATTCAATCTAATCCAATTGCCAAATGATGATCCATTACAAAAATTCGTTTATTAGAAAAACAACAACAAATCAATTAGGTCATTTGTTTATCTCAATGAATGAAAACTTCTATTTCCTTGTATACCACGTGGGGAAAGTTTTTTTTGTTCTACAAAGGTCGTAATTGAGATCTTCTTTGAGATTATTATCAAATAAATTAGGTTATAGGTGAATTAGTATCAGTGTAATTAATCCTTCCTTCTTTATAAACAAAATTGTGTCATTGTTTCTTTTCTATCGATGGTTATGGGTCTTTAACCAGTTAAAAAGTGTGACGGCGATCGGTGAGCAGAGTGCGCGCTCTGGTGTGTGTCGCGATAATCAAGCGATGACGGATATAGTCGACATACACTGAGTAAATGGCGCTGTTCAAATATTGAATAATCAAAAAAAGACAGACGAATTCTTTATTTTACAAAATGAACAATTTTGTTAATTATGTACAAACTGTTTCTGAACAAATTCATATATTAAAATTTACGAATGTAATTTAATTTTCGTTAACAAAATTACAATTTAAATATCAATTTGTAACAAATTTTTACCCATGACTGATATACAGCACGTCATAACACAAAATTTTGCCACATTTCCATGACGGATATAGTCGTCAAACACGCTTAACTGGTTAATGAATATACCTATATATATATCTCTCGTTTCAGGGTCACTCGTCTATCTATTTCTATCTAATCAATCTAATTTACATACTCGTTTTATATACATATATATATATATAAATCAATGACTTGTTTGTTTCAATCATTCAATCAATTTCTCTCTCTCTCTCTCTCTCTCTCTCTGTCTCTCATTCTTTTTCTCTGTTTATATCTATTTGTCTTTCTAAAGACACTTATTGTTAGATAGATAACCAAAACAACAACAAAAAAATAGAACAAAAATAGAACAAAAAAATAAAAAAACTAAAAGAATAAATCATGTGTTAATGCGATTAAGAATATTCACTCTGCTTGATGTTGAAGCTTAAACACTAACGGAAAGATGTTTCGTATCGCTCATGCAGTTGCCATATACTGGCACAGAGGTCAAGATCTTTCCATTATGGGCCGCCGTGGGCATCGCTATTTTACTTGCACAAAGCAGTATATCCGTCATACTTGCCGGTGGTGTCGGAAAAAATGGCTCCACCGTCGCAGTAAGTGTTTTTGTCAGAAAGTCTTCTTTTCTTTTCTTTTCTTTTTTTTTTTATTTATTTATTTATTTATTTATTATTATTCATTTTCACAAAGTATATATTATATATCTATCTATCTATCTATTTATATATCTATCTATCTATCTATCTATCTTTTTCCTATAAATGATCCACACAACCACCCGACGTGTGTAGTGCACTTTAAAATGATCCAAAATGTTACACTTTTTGTTATTGTCTTTATATTTTCTTCTTCGTTTTCTTTTGATTTAGGCCCAATTTTTGTTCATTTACCCATTTTATGTGTATTCAGTTTTGATTGTATTTAATTATATATGATATATATTTATATTATTATGATTATTATTATTATCATATGTATCAGGAGAGATCAATTGTATCATCATCATCATCATCATCATTGTTATTATTATCCTTTTAAGTTTTTATTATTTCTTTTTCTTCTTCTTCTTCTTCTTCTTCTTCGTTACATTTCAACGTTTTGAAAAATGGCGGGAACAAAGTTTTATTAAAATATATCCAATTATTTCTAACATTTTAAAAGAAAAATGAATTGCAACAACCCTTGTGTTGCATCTTTGTGTTCAACCCTTTTCATAGCAAACCTTATATATAGGAATATCGTCAATATAAAAAAAAAAACCCTTGTATAATGACCATAATATGTGTATGTGATTTATAAATTCTATCGTTGAGATAAACCTAATTAACACGTTGAGCGCCACGCTAATTCTTATGCAATTCTTCGTCAGGCCACGTATGGCAAAACAAAAAGTAAACGTCAGGCACTGGCGCCTGACACGGCTTGAACGAGAAGTTCACTGTCAGTCATCGATGACTGACGTGGTTTGAACGTGAAATTCAATGTCAGTCACCGATGACTGACGCGGTTTGAACGTGAAATTCAATGTCAGTCACCGATGACTGACGCGGTTGGACGTGAAATTCAATGTCAGTCACCGATGACTGACGTGGTTTGAACGTGAAATTCATTGTCAGTCATAAATGACTGACGCGGCCTGGACTAGAAATTCATTGTCAGTCATAAATGACTGACG